AGCAGGATTAGTCTCATCTCCAATATAGAGTGGGGACACATGCGATCAAATACAAAAATAAAATAAAATAACTGATACGAGTGACAAATAGATATAATGTAGATTATTAATAAACTACAAACCGAAGGATTCGGATCCAACATGTAATTTATAGTAGGGATGTGGTTTTAATTGAGAATGAGTCGAAATTGTGTTGTTCCTCACAACTCAAAAAATAGCATGATTAATTAAATATGGATTTGTTGTACTTGACTCTCTCCAGGGCCGGCCCTGAGCTTTGGGTTGCCCTAGCCCAATCCAATGTTGGTTGCCTCTTATATTAACAATTTTGTACGGACAATAATGATAAAAATAAATACATATAATACAATTTAGCGTCTTATATTGGGCTCAAACTAATAATATTCTTATGCAAAATCAATATTCATATAAGAAGATATTACATTTGTGCTACAATTTAATTCAAAAAAAATACTTCTCCTTGAATTTTTGAAGCGATATCTTCAATTAAGTCATCATACTCAAGTTTCTCTAAGTATTCATTTTCAATTGATATCATTGCCAATCCATTCAATCGTTCATGTGATATGGTAGTGCGAAGATAACTTTTTATTAATTTTAACTTGGAAAAACTTCTCTCCGCCAAGGCAACCGTAACTGGGATAGTTAACAAAATCCGATAAGCAACTCATACACATTGAAAGCCACCATCATCCCAATAAGATCTTATGAAGTCAAGGATGTCTATTGATTTAGTCACTTCCTTCGGCAACATTGTTTGCAAAGCTTGTAGGTCATTGAATAAATCTTTCCCATGTATATCACATTGCTGGTTGTGTTTCAAGTATCTTTGTAATTTAGTGCAATGTTTCATCAATTTTTCTTCACCAATACTCATGACCTTTGCATTAAACAAAAATCCGAAGATTTCTTCATAGAGCTCGAATTGTTCAAAACGATCTTTGAGTGATGTAAGAGCTTGATCAATAATATGAAGGAAATAGGAAACTTTAAAATTATCCTTCGGTGATTGACTACCTTCAACATTCGCTTCCACATCCTCATCAAAATGCTTTTTTCTACGAACCACTCTTTTTATCGGAAATGTCGGATCGATACCAACATCATTAGCAAGTTCATTGGCTTCTTTCATCATGTTTTCAAAATCGTCTTCTCTAAACTTTTGAAAGAAAACAATAAGCTCGTTTATTCTTGTAATTGCATCCTCCAAATTCATCTTTTCTTGTTGAAGAACTTTGCTAACTCGATTGACTTTATCTAAAATCTTATACCAAATACACAAGCTAATCAAGAACTCAAAATTCTCCAAAGCATTTTTACACAAGCCTTTAGCTTCTGCCATCACAATGTCCTCTTTAGAACTATTTGCAATTTCATCAAAGTGTCTCTCAACTCCGGTGCTTGATATCGGATTGCTATAACACTTTCAACATGACTTTCCCAACGAGTAATCGACAATGACTTTGGTGTAAGACCATTTACATATGTTTTAAGAACATCTCATCGATGTGTTGATCCAGCAAACAAAGTGTAAACCTTTTGCACACATGCAAAAAAATTTCTAGCTTTGACACAAGATTTTGCCATATCTCATAGTGCAAGATTTAAGCTATGACACCCACATGGTGTATAAAAAGCTCGAGGATTTATGTCAAGAAGTCTTCTTTGTACACCTTGATGTTTACCTTTCATATTTGACCCATTGTCATAACCTGGACCTCTTATATCATCAATGTTGAGATTAAGTTCATTCAAAGTATCTTCAAGTTGATTGAAAAGCCCAAGTCCCGATGTGTCATCAACCTTTATAAATCTAAGAAAAAACTCTTCCACATTGACTTGATTTGTATCTTCAATATCCACATATCTAATGATAATTGACATTTGTACCTCATGGCTTAAATCCGACGTACAATGAAGAATAACTAAAAATACTTTGCTTTTGAAATTTTGTCAAGAATTTTTGCTTTGATCTCATTGGCCAACAAAATTATCAATTCATTTTGAATTTTATGGCTAAGATAATAGCTCTGAACTTCTTTATCTACCACACGCCAAACATGATCTTGTATAATTGGATCGAATTCTGCAAAGAACTCTATAAGTTGAGAAAAAAGTCTGTTGTTCTTCTCATAAATTTTCTCATTAGTTCCACAAAATGGCAAACCATTTCGAGAAAGAGTCTTCACAACCGCAATGGTTCGAACTAGTATCATCTTCCAATGAGTTTCTCTTTGTCAATTTGTGCTTCTATATCTTTATCAATTGTTACCTTTAGTTTTAGTCCTTTTTGCAAGTCAACCCACTTCACAACATTTACACAATGCTCCAGATTACTTTCATGCTCTCTAAGCTTTGTAGGAAGGTTATGCCAATCGTCTATTCCATTCTCCGCCAAATTGGTTGTTATTGGTTTATTCTTGAACAACTTGCAACAGAAATAAAATACCCTATTCAGTTCATTTGAATAGACAAGCTATTTCCTTTCATGCTTCTCGCCATTTGGAAATTCATGGATGTAATATTTGGAAGAAAAACTTCTATTTCTCCCACTCTTCTTTTCACTTGAAAACTCATCGTTTTTCTTTAAAATCTTGATAGGACCACGTTGAACTATCATCACCCTCTTAGTATCATTTATACTTCCCCACAATCCTGGATCATAATTTACTTCCACATCTTTCTCAAGATCAAGTATGCTTTCATGTTATTTACTAAAAGCTACTTCATTGTTATTTTCGTCCACATGAACATTTTCATTCACATGCTCTTCATGATCTTCATCACTAGCTTCCTCATTACGACTTCCATCCGCATAAGTGACTTCATTCATGGGCTCCTCAATGACCTCATCTATATTTTCACTAATATTGGCAGTGGCACTAGCTTCTTCAACTTGACTCGAAAGAAGAGAATGTTGTGTTTTTGCTTTGAACAGCTTAGAAATTGAGCCATCTAGTGATTTTACCATTTCATCTTGACGTCGCTTGACTCTTCTATTATGAGCTCCAGAGTTTTGTTTTCTAATCCTTACTCGATTTTTATCATCTCCCGTCATGGTGTACTGTAGTTTGTAAATATAATTATATAACATATATGAAATCACAATCAACTAAACTTAGGCTACTTAGCAATATCATTATTATTAAAACAAACCCTAATTTTATTCCCAAACATCATAACCCCTAATTCAATTATTCAACAACTAAGATTCAGCCAAGATTCAAAATCAGAAATCATAATTTCATTGCAAAATATCAAAACCCCAAATTTCTGTCCAAAAAAACCCTAAAATTATTTAGTTAAAAAATTTACCTGATTGAGTTGGACGAGTCAGCGGGGTGAAGCCTGAAGGACGGGTCCGATGGGAGCAAAGTAAGGTCAGACCATCGGAGGTTCGGGAAGGAGGAGAGGAGCGGTTTTCTTTCTTTCTTTTTCTTTTTTGTGAGTGGAACAAAGACGGGAAGGAGAGGAAATATTGATGAAAATGAAGGTGTTGGGTAGGGTTTTGAGTATTCATTAGAGTTCTTTTACAAATAAAACCCCTAACAATTTTTGCATAAATGTCCTCTTACAAAGTCCACTTCAAAAATCAAAGATAATTACAGTTTGAGGGGTGAAGGAGCGGGAGGGATGGGTTTCCCCCTGGCCCTGGGTTGCCCCAGCCCCGGGGCTTGGTGGGCTTACCCTAGGGCCGACCCTGACTCTCTCAACCTTGCTAACACGTTTCTGTTAGGTTTGTGTATTAATTTCCATGTACGTAATGGATTTTTAAGCCATTACAATGAAATTTGTGTTTGTTTGTAATGGATATTAAAGAGGATTGCATGATAGTTAAAATCCAATCAAAATATGTTTGGTTATATTTGAATTCTGTTGAGGATAAGTGACTAAATTCACAAATCTAGTTGAACTCAGTGCAGTTCTAGGGATTTATATTTAATGTATTTATTCTATATAACAACCCTAAATAGGTGTATAAAAATAATAAACAAATAACATATTTGCTAAAAATCCATAATTTTTAACTTGTGGCTCCCCTTTTTAATACAATGATGTAAAATGTATAAAACTTATTGAATATTTTTAGCATCTTGTTCATGGTGAAATTATAAAGTCTATCAGTAAGTGAGAGTATAATAATAATAATAATAATAATAATAACCCTATATATGATTTATAAATGGTGAAAATTTTAAAAAGGACTTTAATTAGCAAAATCAACAATTTTCCGCTTTAATTAGTAAAATCAATTACTTTTCGACCATGTCATCACTATTAGGTAAAAAGTAGTCGGTTTTACAAAATGTAGACTTTAAAAAACACGGAAGTAACTAGTCCCGTGCAATTACTGGTTGTAAACTAAGAGCTAATCTGATTAATAGTCCTATGTATTTTAAAAGAATCAGATCAGCTCTAAACTAGGGACAACTAATTATACTTGACTAATGATCTCGTGTTTTTTAGAGTCGCTATTTTGTAAAATCAACCAGACCAATCATGCTAAAGTGATCAAAAAGCGATCGAATTAAATTAAAAAAACTAGTTCAAATTTGCTAATAAAATTTCGAAAGGATCTTTTTTGTTTTCAAAAAAAATTCTCCTTGAAGAAATTTTCAAAAACGCCTCAACAGAATTTTTTTAAAGAAATAGACCTCATTCGCTTTTAATTATAGAAATCGACACACTTTGAGTTAATTGCGGTACTAATTAGTCGGGGTTGCCAACCCCGACTAATTAGTAGCCTAATTACAAGCGAGGTCAAGGAGCGGGGAAGGTTTGCGGCTGCTAACTAGGCTACTAATTAGTCGGGGGTGGCAACCCCGACTGATTAGTACCGTAATTACCTCAAAGTGGATCGATTTGTATAATTAAAAGTGAATGAGATGGATTTCTTTAAAAAAAAATTCCGTTGAGGCGATTTTGAAAATTTCTTCATTTCTTCTCGCTATAGATATCTTACGTTCGTCACATACCAACCAATCCACCATCAAAGATGCAGCCTTTTTCCCCTCACAATCGCTTCTTCTCCTCTCTCGACCAGCTCCAGAACCGACTCTCATCGGAATCCCAATCCAAAACCCAAAACCCTCAACCTCCCCCTGAGTCAAACCCTTCTCTGTCTCCTCGCTGCCTCTCCTCTTACATCACAGCTCCCGAACACGCCACCATCAACCCAGGCAGCCACCAGCAGCAGCAGCAGTGGGCCCCCTCACGATCTTCGGCTCTCAGCGCGCCCCCCCGCCACCCAACATCACGAAACAGACAACGACGGCGCCGACGACATCGAGACCTTGATGGGCCTCCTGGGCTTGTCGATTGCTTCTTCGCCGGAGGCCTCTGCTTCGTGTTCCTGCGACTGCAGTGGGGCTGGGTTTTATAAGAACGTCGTTGGAGCGGAGGGGCCGAGATGCGAGAGGGAGAGGAGGAGATTGGACGGCTGGATCGATTTGTATCGCAGGGAGAGGGCAGAGCCGGGCGAGGCTGGCGGCAATCTGATGATGCCGGAAAAAGCTGTGACGCTAGAGCCAAGAATTGCGGGCGGCGGCGGTTTGATGGGGGCTAGAGTTTTGCGGGCGGCGACTGTGGAGGAGTTTCTTGAGCGTGATCCTTAGATGAGGAGGAATTCCTACAAACACATGGCGTGCGTGATTGATGTTACTGCTAAATTGGGTTATTTGCGTATATACTCCTTACATCGTGGGTATTTGCAAGCATGCCCCCCCAAATCGTAGTACTTGCGAACGTACCCCTCAAGTCATCAAATTTGTGAAAGGATAGTTCTAAAATCAGCAAATCATCAACTTGGTCCTAAATTTTTGACTATTTTGTTGATAATTTCTACATTGCGATTACAAATTATCTTATCAAAGTTGATGATTAATTTCTTTAAGGGTAAATTTTCTCCAAAATTGACGATTTGAGGGTAGCTTCGCATATACTGAGATTTAGAGGGCCTTTTTGGAAATACTTATGATGTAAGGTGTATGTATGCAAAACAACCCTAAAATTTAATGCTCAACTGATGTATATTGCGTGCGTTTGAATTGTGTGCGTTCGTTTTTAGTATAACATTATAATCCTCTGCATCCTTACCATAACTCTCGCATGTTTGAATTTGATGCAGTCAAGAGGACTTTTAAGATGTTTTCAAAACAATACATGTTCAAATCCCATATACACATGGGTGGCACTAGGGGCACACCCCCAACCACATTCCAAACCACACCCCCTCTCTCATATGCTACAGTGCACCGGGCTCCACATGAGATTTTAAAATTTTAAAATCCCATGTGAAGCCCGGTGCACTGTAACATATGAGAGAGGGGGGTGTGGTTGGGGGTGTGCCCCTATCATTTTCCTATACACATATCTAAAGCTAATTAGGGTGGGAAAATTTTTGACACTGCGTGAAGTAGTCCATATTTTGACCCTTGACCCAAAAAAAAAAAAAGCCAACCTGCACAGACATTAAGATCTATCCTCAATTTTTTTTCAACGTAACTTTGGCGTCTTGGTACGGATTAATAGACATTGATATATCGATCAAGTTATGGACTTCCAAAGGTTTTAAGACTCATTGTAGACCAGCGCAGCTTCGAGAGGGAGTAAGCAGTTCATGCTGTTTTGGCTTCACCAATAGAGTTGGAGCTTTTGGATGTCAACGCATGATGAGTAGTCATTTCCTGTCTAACTTGAAGTACATGGCGATATTCAGCCTGTTACTTGGCACTGAGCTACCTAATGTTTCCATAACCAAATATCTCCTTGTCAAAACTTGCTTCTCCTACAAACTTAAATCATATCATACTCCCTTTAAAAAGTACGAGTTTGGAATTTTTTTTTCTATGGTCAATATTATATTTAACTTTTTTTTGAATATTACATTGTTATCTTAATCTATTCTGATTATTCTATTCTATCTTCTTTGAATTAATAATTAAATGATTTATCCTATTCATAATGAGACTTAACATGTTATTGGATAAATGAGATACATTTGATATAATTTAAATCTTTTACTTATTTCAGCTCGCAGAAAAATCTAAAAAACATATGCTAGCCACCACCTAAAAATTTTGCACTTTGTAAAAAATATCCTCCAAGTTTTATAAATTACAAAAACACCCTACAAATTCAAATTTTCATTGAAACATCTTGAAAATTATAAATTTACTTATTTCAACTTAGTGACAAATCTAAAAAAGGTAGAATTGAAAGTTTTTTGGTTTTGCAGAAAATATCTTGTAAGTTTTAAAAAGTACAAAACGCCCCTAAAAATTCAAAATTTGTAAAAAAACACCTTAAAAGTTTCAAACTTATAAACACATTAAAAACCTACAAATAACACAAACAACCTCTGAAAACTTATAGAATTTGCAATAAACACTTTGAAATTTTACAAATTGCAAAATAAAACCCTCAAAATTATAAAATTTATAAAAATCCTAATAATTTCCAATCTAACAGTACATTAAAAATATAGGAATTGCAAATATCCCCTACATAATTAATAATTTATAGAAAACACTCTTTTTTAAAAAAATACAAACAAAAACTCAAAACTCAATTTTATAAAAAACACCCTGAGAATTTTAAACTCATTAGTACATTGAAAACATAAAATTATAAATAGTCTATAAACAATTTACAATCATTAGAAAATGCATATAAGTTTAAAAAATTACCAAAATATCCCTAAAATTCATAATTTTTAAAAAAAGACATGAGAATTTCTAACCTATAGACACTAAAATGAATATACAAAATTACTAACAACCCCTAGAAAATTAAAATTTTGTAAAAAATATCATAGTCCCTTTAAAATTATAGGTTTAGGAAAAGATTTTCATGGTTAATATTACCCATAACTTTTTTGAGAAGAACATGACTAATTAAAAATCTATTAAATTTAAAATTTATAAAAAAATGCCCTTAAAGTTTAGTATATTACAAATTACCCTTTCAAAGTTTAAAAATTTTCAATGATTTTTTGTGATTCCTTGATTTCAATGCAATGTTTAATAGTTTTGTATATTTATAAATTATAAAATTTTAGGGTGTTTTTTACAATTTCTAAAACTTTTGATGGTGTTTCTTTTGTAATTTTCTAAATTTTTATAGTGTTCTCGGTGTAATGCATAGATACATCAATTAATGAGGATATTGAAGAGTAAGTCGTTCTTAAGATGCATTAGGCTATAGTTAAGTGTGCACATCACTATTCCTAGGCCGAATAGTTTATATATGCAAAAAATTTTAGACAATCTATATAGTGGTTAAAAAGATTTTAACTTTAATGTACTATTTTTTATAAATTATATTTAATGTGAACCCACCATATAATTTTGACTGTGATCATCATAATTTTAATACAATTGAGTGCTTGACGTCTGCGATGACGTCTGCGATGAAGATGTGGGAAATTCTCAACAATAAGTACCTTACGAAGAGTGTTGAGAACAAATTGCATTTGCTGCGTAGGTTATTCATATTCCAGATGTCCAGAGGCACCTCACTTGCGGCTCATGTGAACAACTATACGAAGTTGTTGTCGGACTTGGCGAATGTTGATGAGAAGATTTCGGATGAGTACAAGGCTATTATCTTATTGGGCTCCTTACCAGATGAGGAGTATGACACCTTTGTGCTCACTTTGTTGAACGGAAGATCTTCTATCAGCTATAGTGAAGTTACTAATGTATTGACGAATTATGATTTGAGGAGGAAGGATAAGGAGACTTCTCGTGCTAGTACTTCAGGCGACCCCTTGTCGACGAGAGGTAGAAGCTCATATCCGAAAGGTGGTAATAGAGGAAGGTCAAAGTCAAGAGGTCGTTACCAGCTAGAAAAGAACCAATGTGTATTCTGCAATGAGCAGTGACATTGGAAAAGAAATTGTCCAAAGATCAAAGAGAAAGAGAATAGCAAGAAAAAGGGCCCGAATGCCAATGAGGTGAATATTACAAAAGGCGATGATTCCGATGATTCGACCTTTTCTCTACTGATTATTCCGAAGGTGAACCACTTGGATGCATCAGATTGGATGCTTGATTCCGACGCTACCTATCATGTGACCCCTAGACGAGATTGGTTTGCATCTTTTGAAAAGCTCGATGGGGGAGTTGTAGTCATGGAAAATAATCAATGTGGCATTTGTGGGATAGGTACCGTGAGGATTCGGATGCACGATGGAGTAATCCGTGAATTGAAGGAGGTGAGATTCGTTCCTCAGCTGAAGAAGAATCTTATCTCAGTTGGAGCTTTGGAGGCAAAGGGATTCAAGGTGACATTTGAAGACGATGTAGCAAAGGTTAATAAGGAATCTTTGGTGGTGATGAATGGAGTCCGCAGTCAAAATTTATACTATCTTAAGGGGAGCACCGAGATTGGCCAGGTTGCTTTGGCTATTTCAGAGACGGACATGAGCAGGCTTTAGCATTATAGGTTAGGGCACACAGGTGAGAAGTCACTGCAGGCACTGTGCAAGCAGGGGCTAATGAAGGGAGCCAAGAATGGTAAAGTGGAGTTCTGTGAGCACTGTGTACTAGGCAAAAAGACGAAGGTGAAGTTCGGGACTGCTATTCATAGGACGAGAGGTATCCTGGACTACGTGCACACAGACATTTGGGGTCCCACAAAGACTGCATTACTTGGTAGTCGACATTGGTTCGTCACGTTCGTAGATGATTATTCTAGGCGTTGTTAGGTGTACACCATGAAGCATAAGAATGAAGTCCTAGATTTATTTATAGAGTGGAAGAAGAGATTGGAACTGCATACTGGGAGAAAGATCAAGACGTTGCGATCCGACAACGGTGGTGAATATACTTCAGACCCCTTTCTGCAGCTATGTCGAGACGAGGGCATAGAGAGGCACTTCACGGTTAGTCATACACCGCAGTAAAATGGGGGTGGCAGAGAGGCTAAATCGGTCTTTGCTGGAGAATGTCCGATGTTTATTATCGCAGAGTGGTTTGGAAAAGATCTTTTGGGCTGAGGCACTTACATATGCGAGCCACTTCATTAATAGGCTACCTTCATCTGCGATTAAGGGGAAGACCCCTATGGAGATGTGGTCGGGAGAGCCAGCACGAGATTATGACCAGCTCAAGGTATTCTGGTGCTCTGCATTTTATCATGTGAGAATAGATAAATTAGAACATCGAGCTAGGAAGACCATATTTGTAGGATTCAAGCGCGGTGTCAAGAGATACAAGATTTGGGATCCAGTTGATAGGAAGATTGTGCTGAGTAAAGACATCACGTTTGATGAGGCTTATATCTTGAAGCTTTCCAGCTCTCATCAGGTGGAGAGCGACTCGACAGAGAAGATATCGTAGGTAGTGGAGATCGATGCAGCTACACATTGTTCAGATGGTATAGTATCCATTAGAGTGCCGACTGAGGTGACGCCAGGCGAGCACGACGGTGACACGGAGGATACGAGTACTGATGTGCAGGATCAGGGACCGACGGCTTAGGTTCAGGATTATATTACGATTCGGAGACAGAGGAGAGACATACAGATGCCAACATGGTATGCCGACACAGTTGTGTATGCACTTCCGGTGAAGAGTATCGATGAGATGATGCCTATTACATTCAGAGAGGCCGAGTAGAGTTCGGAAGCTGATTTGTGGTAGGTGGTAGGTAGCTATGCAGGAGGAGATGGATTCTCTTCACAAGAACGATACGTGGGAGCTTGTTGAGCTTCCAAAGGGGCGAAAGGTAATTGGTTGCAAGTGGATATACACGAAGAATGAAGGCATTGAGGGCACTCCATTGAGGTTCAAAGCTATGTTAGTTACGAAGGGCTATGCACAGGATGAAGGTATTGACTATAATGAGGTTTTCTCTCCGGTGGTAAAAACATTCTTCGATTCAGATTTTACTAGCTTTGGTGGCCCAGTATGGTTTGGAGTTAGATCAATTGGATGTGAAGACGATATTTTTTTATGGCGATCTTGATGAAGAAATATATATGACTCAGCCATTAGGATTTCGAACTGTAGGGAAGGAAAAATTGGTTTGCAGATTAAAAAAAATTGTTATACGATTTGAAGCAGTCTCCTCGACAATGGTATAGGCAATTCAATGGTTCTATGATTGGTCATTCGTACACTCGGAGCCAGTTTGATCATGGTGTATATTTTTGCAAGTTGAAAGGAGGTGCGCACATTTATTTGTTGCTTTATGTCGATGACATGTTGAGTGTCTCTATTTCCAAATATGCTATAGATGAGTTGAAGGCACAACTTTCAAAGGAGTTTGAGATGAAGGATTTGGATGAGGCGAAACGTATTTTGGGAATAGAGATCGGCAGAGACAAGAAGAAGGACAGAATTTGTTTGACACAGGTGGCTTATTTGAAAAAGGTTTTACAGCGATTTCATGTTAGCATGGATACAAAGCCAGTTAGTGTACCATTAGGAGCCCATTTGAAGCTTTCAGCTGGTCTTTCACCGAAGTCAGTTGAAGATCGAGAATTGATGTCAAAGACTCCATATACGAGTGCGATTGGGAGCTTGATGTACGCGATGGTATGTACGAGACCAGATTTGTCACAGGCGGTGAGCATGGTTTCAAGATATATGCACGGTCCAGGAGTGGGTCATTGGGACGTCGTGAGATGGATTTTGAGGTATATTCGAGGTATGCTTAATGTTGGTTTAGTTTATGAACGGGACACTATAGGTGGACAGTTATGTATTGACTACGTTGATTCGGATTATGCCGGGGATTTGGATAAGCACCGGTCTACTACGGGGTATGTATTCACTTTGACCCGTGCGCCGGTGTGTTGGAGATGCACCTTATAGTCTACGGTGGTTTTGTTTACGATGAATGTAGAGTATATGGCGATAACAGAGGCTGTGAAGGAGGCTATTTAGCTTCGAGGACTTTTGGAAGAACTTGGTATATCGCAAAGGTCCGTCACTATTCATTGTGATAGTATGAGTGTTATCTATTTGGTGAAGAATTAGGTTTTTCATGCGAGGACGAAGCACATTGACGTTCGTTATCACTTCGTTCGAGATGTTCTTGAAGATGGCGATGTGGAGATTGTGAAAGTCCACACGAAGGATAATCCGACGGATATGCTCATTAAGGTGGTGCCGAGCAACAAGTTTTATCATTATCGAAACTTGTTGCACATTCGTGATTGTTGAGGCCGTTGACGGCCATTTGGATGAACTACGAGCTGCTTGATCCCTTGGGAGAGGGGGTATATAGGCAACCACATTGGTACAGCCGAATTTGGTGAGACGACGCATTGGTGCTCATGTTGGTGTCAGCTCAGTTTTGGGAATACTTCGTCGATGTGGAGAATTGTTGGATAGCAGTATTCCTAATCTATTAGGATTCCTAATCTATTTTGGTAACATGAGGTTATTAGGATTCCTAATCTATTTTGATAACATGAGTTTATTAGGATTCTTAATTTGTTTTATTTTTGGTTTTAGGATTCCTAGTCTGTTTTGATTTTAGTTTTTCTATATATATGGAGATTAGAATCAATCATCAAAAGAGAGGAGAGTTGTAATCAGAGATTAGAATGACTTTTGAGCATTATGAGAGGGAGATATTGTGAGCAAGTTGAGAGCTTTGGTTGAGGGTTAGTTTGTGAGTTTTGTGAGATTGTAACCCTTTGTACTCTCCTTGATTTAGTAGAATCTCCTCATCCTCTCCCCGTGGACGTAGGCAATTTGTCGAACCACGTAAAAGTAGTTATCTTGCTATTTGTGTGATTTGTAATAGCTTATTTAGGTTCCCTCGACAAGTCAGTCCTAGAACTGATGAGAGGAAGAGCTGATATCCCACTTTGTTGAGATATTTTGCTTAATGTTCTTGTTTCCTTTGTGAAACAGAAATTCCTATTGCGACCTGACTCTCTTGTTGTGCTGCCGAAGTGCTGCGGAAATTTCCGCTACGCGCAACAACAACAGTGTACTTTAACAAATAGCATGCATCACCAGCTAATAGGCAATCATCTCCAGGAATAAAAGTTCTATGCCAAAATTAAATCTCACAATTCCGGAGACCAGAAAATAAGCTAGAAAATCGAAATCTTTTTTTATTTTATTATTATTATTTTTTGTGACATAGAAACTTCTTAACCAGATCCCAAAATTATGGGATCAGAAAATCAAAAGGATACATAATAATGTAACTAAGTGTAAATGTTAGTAGTAGGGAATTACATAGCTTGCAAAATGTGGGCTTTAATTACATTGTGAACAGAAGAGGAAGCGGTAAGCTTAGTGAGATGGGAATACGCCTAAAATTTTTCCTGTCGATGTGTGATGAATATAATAATTTTGGCGACTTCATAATTCAGCGGGGACAATGAATACCAGATATAAATCTAGAAAGAATATTTTTCCTTCTTTTATCTTTTTTTTTTTTTTTTGCTTTTAATGAGGGGTCTGGATCCTCTCAATTAGGTGGTAATTGGAGAGTATCCAATTATTTCAATCTTTACCATTCATTTCAATTTTAAGGGACAAGATTATGCACATAGCATTTTAAATATTGTGATAGTGGTTTTCTCAATAGGGGTTATCAAGACAATAGTGGTTTTCAAGTACTAATTATTTGACAGCCCTCTAAAACTGGGCCAGGTTTGAACCCTAGGTTTGAACCTAGCCAAGTTTTAGGCTGTTTTCTTGATTGGTAAAAACTAGTCCAGAAGTGAACCAGTTTATTTTAGTTCATTTTTGGGCCTCTAAACGGGTTAGTTGTGGACTGGGGGACGTTGGTCGGCAACTAAACTAGTTTTTTTTCCATAACCAGTTTGAGGAACAAGTGTAGCCTAATTTTAGTGAGTTGCCAAATACATCCTAAACAGTAAAAAGAGAAATAATCAACCTCCTAATATAATGAATACCTCATTAAACACCTCCTATCTTCCTACCCAAAATTTTACTACTTGACAAGTCAACTTCAGATACATCAATAACCAATCTGTTATCTAAAATCTTATGGCCTCTGCTACATGAGATATTTTTCTACATTCATCTTCTAGGGCCATATCCACAGTTAAAATTAACAACAATTCAGTCTAACTATAATATAAAACTCCACAGACATGGGGGAGAAAAGGAAAAACAAGATATATTAGTTATTACCCGAAGCCTCAAAGACTTCCGGTTGCTGAAATTAAAGGTTTCTTTGCTTCTTCAGTACTGGTTCACTCTTCACAAATCCTCATCAGACCCTGCATCAAATATAACACAAGAAACATCATCAACTTGGATAGTATTGTAGTCCTCAGCATATGCTCATATATTAAATATTTTATAAGATAAGAATAAGAAAAAAAAATCATAACTGAAACAAAATTCTCCTAGTAAAGGCATTACCTATTTTGCGTATAGTGACCTTCACCAAAGCACTTTGTTGGCAATGCAAGAATATTTTTGACAAAAAGTACTAGACGTTCAAACCAAACAATTTCCCCTCAGAAACTAGCTCTAAATACATCCTTCATTATCATTACTCGGGATCCTTCCATATCCTTAAAGATAGATATCATTTTGCTCCGGTCTACGTTATCTTTCTGCTCAGTTCCCGCCACGTTTCAACCAAAAGAGTTATCAACGTATCCTTGTCATTTTATACTCAGCAAGAGCACGTTCTACATTCCTACATTCTCACGAATGTACTCATTTCTTATCCTATCTCTTAGTGTATATTCACACATCCAACATAACATTCTTATCTCTGCCACACGCATCTTTTACACATGCTTTTTAATTGGCCTGCATTCTCATCAGATTGAAATTTCAACAGCTACCACCAATCACCACAAGAACAGAAGCCATCTCTAAAGTGATGAAAACGAGTTGAATCTCGCACTACAATCTCACGACCAACAATCTTTGAAATCAATTTTATCGCAGAATGACAGTCCCCACAAACACGAAGGTTCTTGAAAACTCTAACAGTGTTTCCATCAACAGTTGCAATAAGTCCAAAGGCAATAGCGAGCTTCTCACTGTGATATGTCAATGCATACTCCTTTTGTTCATCATCTACATCATGCAACGCAAAATTCTTATCACAAACATAACCATACTCCTTTAGTTTTCCACCCAACCAATCGAGCTTTCCATATATTTCACTGGTCATTGGATGAGACCTATCCCCACAAACAAATTCATGTCTCGATTCTTTTAGCACGATCCAACTGGATCCTGGAATCTTCACAATTCCTCGGCATCTCATCATCACCCTAGTTTGTGATACATCATTCCACCTTCCACAAGAAGCATATATGTTTGATAATAAAACATAAGCTCCACTATTGTATGGGTCTAAATTGGTAATCTCTTGTGCAGCCATCTGCGCAACTTCTATATTAGAATGCAGTCTACAAGCACTAAGCAAAGCCAACCAAACTGTGGCATTTGGCTTAATCGGCATACTCCTTATAAACTCCTCAGCTTCTTCAAAGTTTCCTGATCGACCCAAAATATCAACCATACAAACATAGTGCTCTAGCTTCACATCAATTGCAGGATTCTCTCTCAGCATTTGGAAAAAATGCCGTCCCTTTTCAAGCAATCTGCAATGACTGCAAGCAGTCAAAACACCAACAAATGTAATGCTATCAGGTTCTACAAAACTTGCCATCATGTCATCAAAAATCCTAATCGCCAACAATCCATACCCATTTTGAGCACATCCAACTACTATCGTATTCCAAGAGACAATATTCCTCAAGCCCATAAGGCTGAAGACCTTCAAACCATCATTCATATCTCCGCATCTCGAATACAAGACGATGAGAGAATTGCCCACAAACACATCAAAGTCCAATCCCTGCTTAATAGTGCGAGCATGAATCTTCTTTCCCCTTTCCAGAGCTTCTAGTCCACAACAGGAGTTCAACGCACTGGTGAATGTTGATTGGTTTGGTCTTATTCCAAAAGAAACCATCTTACTAAACTCGTGCAATGCATCCTCATGTCGACCATTAACACCATAACCGGTCACAATAGCGGTCCATGAGACCACATTCCTATCTGCACTCTCATAAAATACTTTCATCGACTCCTCAACTTGTTTGCAATCTGCATACAGAGTGACCAAGGAAGTTGAAACATAAGTATCAAAATTATAACCAGTCCTAACAACATGCCCATGAAGTTGACTACCGAGTCCCAAATCCGAGATTTTAGCACACACTGTCACCACACAGGCGAAAGTGCTTGATGTGGGCTTGATATTCGAAACCCACATTCGTCTGAAAAGGCTCAATGCCATATCATTCTCTCCATTCCTTTCATACCCGCTAATCATTGCGGTCCAAGAAATGCACAATTAGGTCTCTGGCTATTCTTCTCAACCAAGCATAAAAGCATCTTGGACCAGCGCTACCATTGTTTACATGGGTAGCCCGAGATGCATCGAGTTCCATGATAGCTGTATGGCCTGCCGTTCAGGGCATTCTTTCAAAACAATTCCACTGCTTCGTCGATCCTACTATATTTCATAAGCCCGTTTATAAATGTAGTCCAAGAGATCACATTTCGATCAGGCATTTCATTGAACAGTTTATGGGCAATGCCCAGTTCACCACAATCTAAGCAGCCCTTAATCATAGAGTTCCATGCCGCAGTATCTCGGTTCGGCATTCTGTCAAACAGGTTGAAGGCGTTATGGATTTGGTTGGTTTGAGAGTATGCATTGATCATCATGGTGAAGAGATGGGCATCTGGAGATGGGATTTGGGAGAAAATGTGATGGGCTTGTTCGATTTTGTTGTCTTTGATGAGATTAGACAGTAGGGGTTTATAATGAAAGGTTACATTTTTGGAGCTTTTGTTTGGATGAGTGATGGGATTGCTTAAGGGTTTGAGATTTGAAAATAGTGCGGGAGATTTCCTCATCAACTTATCTTGAGAATAACTATGAATTATTGAATTTATACACTAAGGCTGCTGTGATTGGTTAGAAAGAGGGAAAAGATTTTTTTTTTTTAATTATTTTTGTGTGTTTGATTAGTAAGAATGTAAAAAGGAAATTTGAAGAAAGATGATAATCTCTTTTTCTCTTTTGGAAATGATCTTAGAGTGTCTAGGGTTGGGCCACGATGTCTCTTAACGCATTTTTTTTTCTCTTCTTATCGGAGTTATTTCATAAAGATTTGTCATGGTAATAAGTTCAATAAAAATAAAGTCACGGTAGGTTTGGGAATTACAAAAAATCCCAAAAAGTTTTTTATTTTTACTTACACCCCACCTCCCCCCACCCTTCAAAAAAAATCTTTTTAACTAGCACGTTAATTATTAAATTAATACTCTAGTTAAGTAAAAATTATATTTAATTTTAAATTAAATTAAATTAAATTAGAGGGAGAAAGAGAGAACGGTTCTCACT